ACAAGTTTCAACACGCATTTCTTTCTGCAGATCATGAGGTACCCATTTTTCTTATTTTTCATTTTATTGATTTGATGCAAATGAGTCAATATTGTATTTAAACCATGCCGCTAACTCATATTCAAAAATGACTCGGATTTTCGAAGTTGAGTATACGTCTAAGCTGAATAAAAAAAAACAATTGAAAGTCAAAAATCTAATGTTACACATTTTTTAAAAGAAGAACCTCATAGTTATCATGTGAAAAAAGTTTTGCACGAAAATCTTACACCATGAAGGTTTTATGTTAATTCAAAGTATCTATTACTACACAACGGCAATTTCATACTTTAACCTTTATCTCATGTATTTGAGTTCTGACTTGTTTTGTTTCACTACATCCAATAATTGATTTGGGACGTTTGTCGTCATAAAGAATATTATCTTTACGGAGCCATTCCTTGATATAATCCACACGATTGGCTTGTGCTGATAATTTCAAAGTCCGTGGGTTTATTCAATTGAACAGAATGACGACTTGCGTTATCATTGTTTTATTTTAATGCCACAGGCATTTTCTGCCAGTCTACCTTAGGGTGGTGCTGAAATTTGTGACTAGGTGCACTAAAGATTCATAATATGTAAAGTAAGAATAATATGTAAACAAAATTATTGATATGTTGAGAAACACTGAGATAAATACATACATACAAACGTACCAGATACATACGCACACATAAATACTTACCTAATTACATACATACATAAACCTACATATTGAAAATATATAAAACTTTAATGTTGTAACGAATCTGTTAGGGTTCCATGAATGCGAGCTCGAACTTTTATCATGAAAGAGAGGCGGCTGGGTGCTATCCTGATTTCCAGAGGAAGAGCGTTCCTGAGAATTACGGATTGGAGAATAGGAACGAGGAGTGGACACAAGCGGAAGTATGAGTGGGGCATAGCAGAAGAGAATTGTTTGATGAAGGAGGGTTTTATCGTGGTTGGACCACAGATATTGGAAAGAAGATGTCAGGTAGGAGGGGGAAATAGGCTAGTTGAGAATAGAATAGAGGGTGGTGAGTGAAAGTGTGAGAGGTGGCGCAGCTGACGGCGCTGACGAATAGTGAGCCAGCCAGATATCCGGATATACCTTTATACCATTATACCATACCATCCGGATATACCATTCCCACAGCAAAAAATCCTCGTGTAGTAGTAAAGGGGTTTCTAAACCCCTTAAAAACGCATAATGGATTGCTCAGAAATATTAACGCACGAAAAATAAATTATCAAAAGTATAAATACCTATAATGTATATTTGTCACAAATCTAAACATTGACTTGCCAGATGACAAATTAACATTTTCATGAAAACGTTCCATTAGGAGATTCTAGTATACTTACTACCTTATACTTACTTGTTTGTCATTTAAACCCATGCCGTCTTATTATAAAACGTGGACTTAAAAAAGTACCGGCTTTAGTATTAGGTTTAAACCATGACCTTGAATAAACGTTATTACAAAACGAAGTTTATCGCTAGTCCTAGAACTATCTATGGTATCAAAGTTAGACCATCGTGACCCCTAGTTTAACTATGGTACTAAATTGTCAAACGTCAAATTCTTAATTTTGAGGTTCGCTTTCGGAAAGGAATTTGTGATCAGAAACCAAAAAATGGATATTGATGCAATTGATATGTTTGATTTGGAAGATTTGAATGTGTTGGATATACTAGAAAGTTCCCGGGGACCGAACAGAGTTCGTCAGCGTCGAAATCCATTTGAATTACCTGATGAAGATTTTCGGTATAAATATAGATTTAGTAAACGTTTTCGCGAAAGGATTGTCGATTTATTACGTGAGGATTTATCCCACGATCCTCGAGGATGGCCGTTAAGCCCCGAAATGCAAGTAGCTTGCGCACTACGCAACTGGGCTCGCCATGAAGTAAGTTGGTACCTTGTAATGTAATTATGGCTAATGTGCGTCATCAATGATGTATTACTTTATAATAAATTTTTTTTACAGATTCAAGACGATACTAGTGACTTACATGGCGTATCTCAGCCAGTTATAAGTTATAGATGATGTCAGTGCAGCCAGTTCAAAATTCACTACGAGGGAATATTAGAAGGCAGTTTATTGAAACTCACTTTTCATAAAATAACATTTATTATATATAACTATATTTCTTTTTTGTGATATTCATATATGTATATGTTTAATACATGTATTATATGAATGCTAAAATAAAAGCTAATGATCCTTTTTTCATAAAGATAATTATTAATAAATAAGTAACTTTTATCTTTAAGAAAATGCTAAAATCAGTCCTATAATACTAATGATTATTATGGGGAATATATAACCTGAAAATAATTATGTTATATTATTATGTGATTGTCAATATATTTGAAGTATTTTATTCAATAGGAGATAGATTACATTAGTTATTTATTTGAGACTCTTGACTCAACAATTTATACTTATTTTAATTATAAATTGTATTGATATCAGTCAAAAAGTGTAACTTACATTTTAATCTTTATTAATGGTGTTAGTTTTTATCTGAGTCTCCATTAGTGCTATTTGTAATTGTAGCTTTTTAATTTTTAATTTTGATATTTCAACTTGATAGAAGTGCTGGGCTTCCAACATATCAAGCTCCTTTTTTTTTTAAATTCTGTATTACTATTTATAATAGCTTGACACCCTTCTTCATTTCTGTAAAATAAATTCTATATTATTATGTAATAATTAGACTTATTATTTTAGTGTGGTAAGCTTTATTTATATTTTCGTGGTGCCTTGATTGAAATAAAATATATTTTGTTTGCACAGTTTCACTGGTGTAAATCACTGAAAATAATAAATAATATTAATGAAACTAACCTGTATTTTTTCTTATTATGAAATTATTATACCTTGTTTTTCTTCAATACTGGACTCTACATTTTCATCACTTATAATCACTACAATTGGTTCTATTGAGCTATGGCCAGCATCAGGGTCTTCAAATATTGTTGTTGTTGTATTTGTCATCAGTAACAGGTAAATGTTTAGTAAATTGTCATCATATTATACTCTCCACTATTGTTAACATTTCGATTACATTACTCGAATTACGCGCGCCGTCCAGTTCACTCCGTTATACTCATACGTGCTAGCTCGGTAGTTGTTCCAAAACATAACATTAATAATTGGATTGTGAACATGCATTAAAAAATATACAAGTTGGAATATTTAAATACCTTTAAATAACAAAACTTTAAATTTTACCCCTACAAATAACAATTCATAAAATATTTTTCTTTATATTTCGTAACAACATTTTGTTAAAAAGGAAAGGCGCGTAGAACGCTGAACGAATGAAGGAATAATTTAAATATTTTGTTGCTTATAATCTGTGGAAAATATTTAGACCAGAGACGATCTTTGGTACTAAGTAGTCCTTTGTTGGTCTACGATTTGTAATACGAATGAAAGAACTAACGTTAGTACCGTAATAAGCTTAGACCTTTTAGTCCTGGTTTAAACCTGGTACTTATGGAAGTTTTTATAATAAGACGGATGTCGTTTCAAATAGTTCCAGCTCTCTTCACTAGATGGCCGCACCAACATTATAGAGGAATATGGTGAGTTCAAAGGTTTAAAATATTATAAGAAGTACGTACTATATTAAAATGATAATCAAGGGATTCAAGTACAACAATGTGTAATAATATGTACAAGAAATCGCAACGAATAGTCTTATTTAACTGTAAGTATAAGTTTTCTGTCACGCTAAACACACGACCTTTTTGATTCTAGTGCAAAGTTGAGGCTGAGGCAGTGGTATCGATTCCCACCCGAGAAAAAAAAAGTTTATGAGCACTATCATTGTTTGGGTGTCTGTGTTATGGTGTAATTAAAATAATAAAATTAATATTTAGTAATAAAAAGTATGTGTTTCAATCTGATTACCACGGTAAAAGCTCTCCATAGTTTGGGATCAGATGGGCCTTTTTTAATATGATGCAATTTGTTATTATTATTGTTAGAGGAGACTGATCTTGACAGATATTATTGGCGTTTATTATAATTTACTCCGAAAATACCTTTTATGACAGTTGTGTGATCGAGACTTGATCGGAACTGAATTGAGACTGAACTTTTATTACGAGAATTGGCCTTCAGATACCTTCAAAAGTGATGTGCATAGAGATATAAGCATAAAGAGAACGCGGGGTACAGCTGCGTATAAGGAGTAGTGATACAGGCAACGAGAAAGATGGATGCCTGGATACTCACACACGAAGACCTGATACACAAAACGTAGAAGCTGATGACAAATTCTCAGGGATTTACATCGCTCCTAGACCAAACCTATTTATACCGGTTGTGCAGTATATGATTGAGCATCGTATTGCTGGAACGAGGGCTCTCATTAAAAAGCTGTCCATTTCAGATCGGGTATTACACATCAGAGTAATCCGTTTTGTGAATCCACCTTTCCCATGAATTTTGCCAATGTCTGTATAATGAGCTAAATTCTAGATTGTTGGTTTATTAATCAGACAAGAGGATATTTTAGTGAGAACAGAGACTTTAGCTATCGCTGATTTATTATACTTTATAATTTCACGTACAATTTACAAAAGTCTTCATTATTAGCACCAAAACAATACTTTTAAAATAGTAATAAAAAAATGGCCTTAATAATAAACGTGTAACAAGCCCTTTTTAAATGCCATCTTGTGATTTTCGTTAATTTTATTGAATTTACTACTTTTAAACTTAAAATTCCCGGAGAAGTAGTTATTTATCGAATTTAGCGTCGAAACATACCTGTTTTCTTGCACTCCATGGGTAACTAAGGTTTATAGTTTTTTGTCTTAAATGTTTAGTTTTTTAAATTAATTATTAATTTATTTTCTTATGATAAAAACTTAATTTATCTTTATTCATCATTTTAAACCACCATCGACTCTTAATTTTTCTTATCATTATGACTTATCTCTAAACTCTTCACCTCACAATGAAATTCGATAATACTTCATAACTGGGTCTTCTATAAGGTATTCGCTGTCCATCGCTCCATTCTCTTCTAAAAACTCAGTGTGACTTCGCAACCAATCTAAATATAACTTTAAGTATCTATCGTTAGGGTCTATATCAGTGTGACCTAAACAGAAAATACGATACGCATCTTCTCCGTATTTTCCAATGCCGTTCAAGTCACTCGCCCGACGCCATTTTGAAGTAACAAACTGATAACTGAGCTTCCATATCATATGACCTCTTTTTCTTAAACCCAGTTTATCGAAAAATCTTTCTAAAGAGACTGGAGCGTCGTTTAAGACGTGATAAGGGGTTGGGTATTCTTCGAAAAAGCTTTTCATATAGGGCCTTGCGATTTTACCTGAAGTTTTTGTCAAAAAGATCGTTGCTATTAACATTGCCCACGGGTTAGAAGAAAATTCCTCTTCTACTACATAGTGCGGTGACACCGGCATAGATCTAGGCGTGATGTTGTAAAAAGGTTTGATTTCTATTCTTTCTGGCTCTTCTATTGTTAGTTGTGATAGGCTGAGTTCGTCTGATTCTACCGATATTTGGCTCAGATCCTGTGAAGCTTCTAACGATTTGTTTGGTGACGATGACGACTGGATGCGATTAGGACTAGACGCTTTTATTTCCTTAATATCATTGAAAAATGTACTGATGCAATCGGCGGTATCCATTCTGAAACGAAAAAGATATTTTGCATTAGCTATTTGCCTCAAGTGCGAAAGTAATAACATTGGATATTATTATTAAACCATTCGTATATGAAACGGTTGTTGCCGATATCGATATTGATTATATATTTTAATGATAAGCTGTAAATATTGTATTCAAATGAAATGATAAAATTAAATCAATATACGAATAAGAACACAATGTTTATTTTACTTTTTATATGCACATAACTTAAATAACACATAAAATTTTGAATAGCATGTAGTAGTAAATAATGGGGTTTTGAACATTAATATTCCGAGAAATTAAAAAAAACTTCATTAGCATATTGAAAAAAATGTTAAAGTCGTCAATTTGGAGAAGTCACCGTTCATGTTGGATATAATGTATCTAAAATGTTTAATATTTAGCGACGAACAAATTCCATAATTTTAAGTTAGACTTGTGGTATTGTAATGTTTAATAATATTGTGTCTTCATCAACAGCCTTTAATAGTCCACTTCTGGACATAAGCCTCACCTTAGAATGGAGGTTATAATATTGTGTCTTATCTATTAATAAATTCAATATATAATTTGAATATGTGAATATCTTTGATGAACGATTTATAATAATAACCTCACACATCTCACACTAGATCAGATCCCAAACTAGGCAGAGCTTGAGCTATTATTTTAACTAGACTATTGATAAACATACTTATATATTTCTAAATACATACATATTACAGATAACTTACACCCAGACACAACAATATCAAAATCGTGCTTATCACACAATTATTTGTCCTGGATGGGAATCTAACCCACGTCTTCAGGCTTAGCAATCAGAATCACTAACCATTAGACCACCAGGCAAGTCATTGATATGATATCCGTCATTGATAAAGTATTAAACGTTCAACGTTGACTGTTATGTGATTAAATCGTGTTGTAACCGAAAATTGCATCGGTAATCTGTTAATCTCAGTAATACTTTACTATTTTACTACGTAAATACCTTTTATGGCAGTTGTGAGATCGAGAGTTGATCGGAACTGAATTGTGACTGAACTTTTATTACGAGAGGCCTTCTTGTCTCTTTGACCTACTACAGTCCCAGTACACTAGTACAGATGCCTTTGCCGAGACTTGCAGTTTACGCACCCTGACCTTCAACTTATCCGTTTTATTCTTCCCATTTTTTTTTATTTTTCGTATCTGTCAAATTTTACTTTCCCAAAGAGACTTTGCACAAAGCTGGTGTCGGGCCATAAAAGAGCCCAGCCCACAGTCAATGCAATGTTACACATTAGAAAGAAAAGATAGAAAGATGATGATTATGAATGTGGCAAATTTTAGTCTCTTCATTTCAACCAGTGTGGTATAAAGCCTTTTTTTATTTATTTAATTACAGTACCATCGTATTGTGTAGATAATGTCGATTGTGTTATTAATAAAATAAGCTATTGTACAGCTATAATTTTATTGTCAAGTAATAAGTAGATGATCATCCTGCAGCGTATTGTGTCTGTTTTATCACTTCTTTTGCGGTTAGGTAACTATTGTTTTGATATTATATCTAGTAATTGATTATACATATTATTATGTCTTATATAGCGGGTCATGAGTTCTAAAGTGAACTGGAATAAAGGACGGTTTTTTTTTGTGTTCAACTAGGGATGTTTTTGATCATCATCATCATAAACAGCCTTTAATAGTCCACTGGTGGACATAACCCTCCCCTTAGAAAGGAGGTTTTGGCCTACTTTACCACGCTGTCCAGACAGGTTAGTATCAAGTTTTCCTTCTCTTTGCAGTGCTGTTGTCCTGCGTAGTTTGCTCCCTTAGGCGGCTCTTACACCATTGGGATGAATACGGGTGGTGCCACTCTTTACCTATTTTCAATTCGTCAGCACACGGCATGTTTCTAGTGTAACAAAATTCATAAAAAACTGTATATCTTGATATCGCTAGGATGAAAAAGAAATAAAAATAATTTTCAGTAAACTTTTTAGTAATTTTTATTATCAACAAGAGCGACCACATTTTTTTTCTTACTTTCTGAACTCATACGTGGTCGCTCTTGCACTGTAATATCTAGTTTAAAAAGCATTTTTATATAATTTTTATTTACACAGGGCATAGTGAGTTTTTAGAAACGTTTTTCTATAAAACTAAATTCGTCCTAAGATATTGTATAGCAGAAAAATGTATTGAATAGTTATATGCGAGTAACAGTAGATGCCGTCGTACGCATTGAGACAGAATTAAATTGCACTTCGTGGGGGCCTCAGATCATACTGTATGATCTGAGGTAGGGGGTCCCACTATTATTACTTTTTTTCTGTGCGGAGATCCCCTCGGATATCACCCACCGGTGGGGTGATCATGTCGGACGGAGGTAGGGGCCCCCTATTTCTAAATTATATAGAGGTCTGAAGTTAGCAGCATGTTGTGTATTCGGTGTGTTTGTAAGCCCCTGTTACGTAAAACTTTATTTTATGTCTCTTGGTCTGTTTACTCGATTTAAGTTTGTACACTACTTCTCTTGTCTTGAGTATTTGCCGCTTGTAGTTGATTAAATCAAAGCAGAACAACCAAAGAAGAGTACAAATAAATTTAAATGGTAATTAAATAGTGTGGTATATAATAGTATATAATCAATAGTGGTATAGTATAAACACTATAGGTACATCATTTACTATGGGTGTTGGTCTAGCTGTTAGTGTCCCTGACTGCTAAGCCGGAGGTTAAGTCTGGTTAACTCTGGTTACCATAGTACAGGCTCTGTTTGGAATCAGACGGCCGTGTGTGAGATGTATCAGGTCATTATACTACCACGATGAACGTTTTGCCTGCAGTAACAAAATGCTACGACGAATTTGACAAGCATAAACATAGTCATGTTAAATCTTCATGTTAAAGGTTCATATATACAAGTTTGTTTACAAATAATATCAAATAGTTTATTTGTTTGAAACAAAAGTATGATAGTAGGTAGAACGTGGCACATGGGTGAAAATTGCATCTTGTTTCTGTAAATAATTAATTAATTTAACTGCCTCGGTGGTGTGGTGGTGCAGTGGTAGTGTATGCCTCTATTATGTTGAGGTCTCGGGTTGGATTCCCGAGTCGAACCAAATTGTATGATCTGCAAATATTTGTTTCCAAAGAATTTTGGATTCATACAGAAATGAGTAATTCTGATTAAGGCAGATTTAAAATTTTAATTCTATTCATTATGAACCATAGATGTTGTTATTGAATTAAAACACTTTTCTACGTGCTATTTCTCTAGTCTGTATATAAATAAATATATTTTAGGTATTTTATAATAAATATAACTCAGCAAACAACATCTAGAACGAGTCTATGTTATGAAAATAGTACGACAATTCTGAAATAAAATATACTCGTTTATATAAATAGTGGAGTAAATTGTTGGTGTGTAACCAACAAACTAAAAACTACTAATAAAATAAAAAGTTGAAGGAGTTTTTACACTACACTAGTTCGTTATTTCTACTTAAACGAAAAATAATCCATATGGATATGTTTTAATTTGTACTTTTCCATTGCGCTTATCTTAATCTACGATATTTTATAAAGCTCCATGAAAAAAATCATGAGAAATCGTCCGAGTGCATTTATCAACAGTTTGGGTTTCATAATTAAAATCTCGTGTTCTTATGTAGGTTCAAATTCAGTGGGAATGAACCATTCTTGATACAGACAATAGCTACGTATTGTGTTATTCTGAAAATAGATTCTCAAGGCGGGGCATTGCTTTTTTTTATTTTTGCGTCATCTACTGCATATATATCTTTAAAAGTGTAAATGCAAGTCTAAAATAAATTCAAATATAAAGCCATCATTTAGCGATGTAGAAAATATTTTTAATAACAGCTATATCTTTAAACAACAATATCTTAATAATAATAGCTTCACACATCTCACACACGGCCGTCTGATTTCAAACTAGGTAGAGCCTGTACTATGGTAACCAGACTGCTGATAAACATACTTATATATTTCTAAATATGTATTTAGAAATATATAAGTATGCATATTATAGATAAATTACACCCAAACACACAACCAATCATCGAACCGGGGCAGGAATTTGATGGTGGCGCCCCTCTCTACAGCATTTAAAATACATTTAGATCCGGGGCTGCTTATCACACAATTATTTGTCATGGGTGAGAATCGAACCTCCGGCTTAGCAGGAAGGGTCACTAACCACTAGACCAACGGGCCCGTCAATTGTTTATATACCAGTGTTTAGTTAAGTTTTGTATAATCTAGAATGATCACAATTTAAAGTTTTAAATATTCCCCAAAAAGGTGCTACCGTGGAACCTACGGGATAAAGGTTGATGTGACGTAGAAAATCATTGTATATTTTTTCAATTACTATCGGGCTCTTGCAAAAATAGAAAACGATTTTCACACTGAATTATCAAGATTACCGTGACAAAGAAAAATAAGTTTATTATAATAGGTCTTTACCTATGTAATTGCCTTTTGACCTATTTACCCCAGATTTTTTACCCACTAAAAAGTTGTCTAAATTTTGGAAAAAGTAATAGTCGGTAGGTGCAAGGTCTGGTGAGTATGGCGGATGAGGGAGAGCTTCCAACCCCAGCTCTTGCAGCTTGGAGACTGTCTGTTGCGCAGTATGGGGTCTCGCGTTGTCGTGAAGGAGCAGTGGGGACGACCGATTGACCAAAGCTGGTTACAGATGTGACCACCAGACCTTGCACCTACCGACTATTACTTTTTCCAAAATTTAGACAACTTTTTAGTGGGTAAAAAATTCAATTCCCGAGAGGCAGTACAAAATGCCTTTGAAGAGGTTGTTGTCTCCCGTCCAGCTGATTTATACAAGAAGGGCATCAATAAACTGCCAATGCGTTGGCAAAGATGCGTCGATTGCATGGGTGACTACTTCGAATAACAGAAATAAAAAAGTTTGAAAAAATAAGTACTTTTACTTATTGCATACAAAACGGCAATT